GATTTACAATGTGTTTAGCGGTAAAGCAAAAACTACTTAGAAATAATAAAAATATTTGCAGGACATATAGAATAGAACAGAATAGAATAATTTTTTTTTTATAGGAGAGGGGGCAAACGAGCATGCGGCTCACCTGATGGTAAGTGACTACCGCCGCCCATGAACAACCGCAACACCAGGGGAATTGCAGATGCGTTGCCGGCCTTTTAAAAAGGAGTAGGCTCTTTTCTTGAAGGTCCCTAAGTCGTATCGGTCCGGAAAAATCGCTGGTGGTAAACTATTCCACAAGGAAGTTGTGCGAGGAAGAAAACATCTTCTAAATCGCACATTGGTGGACCGCCAATCATCCAGATGGTGTGGATGGTCATTTTTTACTTTACCATTTTACTTTACCATTTTACTTTACCATTTTACTTTACCATATGATATTTGCTGTGTAGTGTTGGCGCAGGAATATCGACTTCCCTTGTAATTTCGTTGATGTCGTAAGAGGTGACAGAGAGGACAGAGATAGAACAGGAGATGAGCAGCAGTATGATCCAGATAACAACATAAAATTATATAAAAAACCTGTGGTTACCAATTCGCCCGCCAAGCGGTGCAAATATGGCAAAATTCCTCGTATAAAACAATATATGGCCCATAGACATTGTTCAGCAGTAAACTTTTGATAGGCTATATGAAATGAATTAGTGAACTGACAACATTTGTTGGGAGAGTCCCTAATTAAAGAGATTCAATTCCTTCCTATTCCAAAAACCTTATTAGTAACTAGCTGTCCCCCGCGACATCGCCCGCGTGGAATTTACTACAAATTTCATGGGTTTTAATAATTTTTTTGCGCGAAACCCTAATTATTTTTCAAAAATAAAAGTATCCCAAGTTACTCCTTATGACTTCTGCTATCTGCCAGTGAAAATCTCGTCAAAATCGGTCCAGCCGTTTCGGAGATTAGCCGGAACAAACAGACAGACAGACAAAAATATTAAAAATTGTTTTTTTGTTATTAGTACCGTATATATTTTCATTTGAATTTACTAAAAAGCTGTTATTTTAACATTACAAACAGACACTTCAATTTTATTTATTTGTATAGATGCATGCACTAAATATGGCCTGTGCACAAATTGGGACTTAACATCAACATACACTATTGGTGATTTTAATTGGATAAAGAAATAAAGTAAACAAAGATTTATCAAATATTTAATTAGCATTATTTTGCTACAATTTCGAGAAAGTTTAACGATAGCTCAACCACTTGATTCAGCGGCTGTGTAACATTGGTCTTTATAAATATTTAATTCAACGTATTACTATTGTACTTATCTGTATGTATTGTAATATGTCACTTATACTGCGTCCGAACCTTAATCTCTTTTACAATACAAAAGCAACATCAGATACAGTGAGGTAATTTATAAGGGGGGATCACCGTGTTAAAAAATTATATAAGATTTACCTAAAAACTTTTCATCAATTAAAACTGTATTGCAAAAACACAGTGGTAAAGCAAACAATATACTACACAAACTTATTGTTGGCCGTACCTACCTTAATAAATTACACAACTTTTAAAAGAATTTCATCACGCAATTTAAGCGTAAATTAAAGTAAAACACACAATTTCCCCGTCTCCAAATGAACAAAACAAGTGAACGCTTGAGGACAAAAGTTTTGAAACAAAAAAACAAAAACCTTAACAAAGGTTATTTCGGGGTAGTCACCGGGCGCCTCGCAAAAAACCCTTCTAACAGATTTCCTTCTGCTCTTCACAGTTTTCTTGCTTTTAGAAAAGTTCTCTCGCTTTGATGTTGGAGTGTTATACTCTCGAAAATTTGCCCTTGTTGGCCCTTAAATGTTTATATCGACGAATAACATGTTCAAGCTAATTTTGTATATTGGATAAACATCCTAGACATGTTTGAACCTATTATATTTATTACCGTTAATACCGTTTAAAATTCCCCGCGTGGATGAATAGTTGACCACGTCTTGTGGACTTTTTTATTTCAATTACTTATTTTATTCTTACTTATAAACGTTTTTTTTATTTATAAGCGTATTTTGTACTTACTTATAAAGTCTATAAAGTTATAAACGTGGTAGAACCACGCTGCAGCTATATTATGGTTGTAGCACGAATGGGTCTGCTCAACCGGGGTAGGACCGCGCTCTCATAGAATACCAGTGTAAAATAGCAGCTTAATGCTGCTGTGTTTCATATGGTGAGTGTAGAGAACCGGAGACCCTTTTTATTGGAAACCAGGCATTCCATCTTAGTCTGGTCTAGTCTAATCTAGATAAATGTAATGTCTATGGGCTACAGTATCCACTTACATCAGGTGGACTATGTGCTCGTTTGTCACACCTATTCTACAAAAAAAACTTAAAGTTTTCAAATGTAAACAAACATCTACTTGTATAATCGTACCACGCGTGTATGTTTTCTCAACTGATTACTTATAAACTGGTTGTTGTGCCTAAATTGGCCGGGAGGGATTATGGTATTATCAAACATAATTCTATATAATAAAATAATGTATCACAGAATGAAGGCCGTTGTTATCCCTATTAAAATAAATTAAAATAAGTGAATCTTTAAAGTTTTTTAGTATATATATTTTTAGTTTGGCATAGTGGCTTAGCAATGAGTTGCTGCGCCGGGGGCCGCGGGTTCGAATCCCACACGGAAAGAGTATTTGTATGGCCTACAAATAATTGTTCCGGGTCTGGATGTTTGTCCTCGTGCAATGTATGCTAGTAAGCTGCCTCCACGACACAGGAGAAAATCCTGGTGTGGGGGTAACGTTTTTATTAAAGAAAAAAAAAGTATAAAGTAAAGCAACCTTTATACTAGTCATTATTATTATAGTCCATCAAATGCCCACATAGCTGAACATAGGTCATGCTTACCACGCCTGGTAGACGGGTTGGCAACAGCAATTCTTGATTTTCTGGATGTTATTAGAAAGACGCTGCTGCCCATGTCCTGGTTAGTTTCCCTCTGCCGCCACTTACGTTACCCATTTGACGACATGGAGTAGTGGATACTCTTGCACCGCCACTGCACGGTGATCCTACTAACCTATATAACTTACTATTAAAAATACTTCATTCAATGTACCAGTTAAAAGTAAGCGTGTATGTAGACCGCAGCTGGCCACAGGCTTTATTACATTTCTAAGATGTTTTTCTAAACGTCCGCCGCGTTACCGCCATGTTGCTGTTCTTGTTACTACGAGTGTAATATGTGTTTTTAAAATAATATAGCTCGTAGCCGTCTACTATCGTAAAACATAGCATTATCTAACTAATTTATTATTTACCTCGTTAATCATTATAATCGATCTAAACTTTTTTTAATTTTTATATAAGCAATCGCTGAAGGCTCTATCGGATTTTTAAATAGTATTTTTTATCTGTACCCATCAATGTGAGCTGGTGACATCTTTATTTCATATTGGGCTGTCTAGTATATTTGTTATTGGATACGTGCGTGGCGATGTCAGTGTTTATTGCATGTTAGATACAAATGGAGTGGTACTATCTGCTCATAAAACTTTGTGTAAAAATAGTGGTTGTAAACAAAAACATACGAATAAAAATAATGTGAGTTCCCCACTTTTATTATTTACTTTCAGTTAAAGTAAACTAGTTCCATTTATCAAAATCAAAATACATAATATGCGCATAATTTTAATCGATGTATAATTTTACGTTGCTTGGAAGAAATTGCTGTATAGCAAGCAATAAGACCGCTTTTTGGTTTTTTTTTCTGTTTGTTTCTTTTTATGTTATTTGTTTTTTTTTTCAGTGTATAATACAGGCTATTGTATTTTAATTTTGATCGAAAATATTACATCCCTAAATTTATAAAGTTTTTATAAATAGCTAGTTTTGAAAATTTGTTTTAATGTAGGTGTGTACCTATGTATGTACCTAATTGAGATAAAAATTAATAATTAATAAGTTTTCTAAAACTATTAAAGTGCTAAAACTTAATAAAGAATAATATAAAGTTAATATTATAAATTTACTAAACTACTTTGTAGTTTGAAAAACTGGTCAGTTCGGAACGCAAAATTGTTTGTTGTTTTTATACTTGAATTTGTAGTTATAGTACAAGTTTCACACAGTTTTAATTATCTTTTGTCATTTTAAATATTTATTAACACATAAAGACTTCTTTGACTTCTTCTTTTTTATAAAATAAAGTGAAATCATCTGCGGCGCAATTAATTGCACGTCATTTGCCGTCGGGTGCGTTGTTTTGATGAAAAAATGTGCCTATGTCTCGCGCAACCCTTCTAGCGTCGTTTAAAACAAATCCTAAACTTTATCTTGTAATAGCCACTAATTTAATAGTTTTATTTTTGGTAGAATTGGCTTAATTTAACACATAATAAGATAAAAAAAAACTAAAATAAAATTAAGAAATTCTGAAAAAACACCACTAAAATTCAGACTGACATAAAAATTATTGTAAAAAAATATAAAAAATAATGCATCTAAAAACATAGAATAACTTGAAAAAATATTTTATTTAGACATGTTTTCTTTTTTAATGGTGGAGCATTGTGGAAACTAGATTTATAACCGTTTAGACTCTATTATGAGTTACTGTTTACAGTTCACGTAGTGTGGACCGGTTTAACCAGTATTATTTTGTATCAAATGACTTAAATGAGATGTATTATCTCTGTAGATTATCGTTATCATATTCATCATTAAGTATAAAATACATTCATTTAGATACCCCAATGTAAGGCAAATGTAGAGTCGACGTGTAGCACTACTTAATATAAATAATAAGTAGAGTTCATATGTAACAAACATTGCATTTGATTGGGTAAACCTATTTCAAATTTTACTCACCGAGACTTGGCTCGAACTAACGCAATTTAAAAATATGCCTATACGGGAAAAGTCACACACAGCACTTGTATCACGTGGGTATCGCACAGCGCGGGCAACGGGTGACGGGGGGCCGTACTGACCTGCCACTCTTGGTGATCACCATCTCGGTGCCGAGCTTGTGGAACTTCTCCCAGAGGTCCTTGCCCTCGAGGGTGACCTTGGGGTCGTCGACGACACCGTCGTCGTCGGGGGGCAGCGGCGCGTAGGGCGGCGGCGGCGGCTTGAGCAGCGGACAGGGCGCGGACAGCGCGGCGGCAGCCGCCAGCGCCGCTGGTAGGTAGGGCGGCGGCGGCAGCGCGCCCGCCGTCAGCAGCGCCGACACCGAGAAGTCGCTGGGGCGCGGCGCCAGCAGCGGGTGGAAGGCCACGGCGTCGCGCCGCTCGGCGCCCTCGAAGCGCATGCCCGCGCCGCCCGGGACCCACGGGGCGCGCTCCACGGCCGGCGTGCCCGTCGGCTCCAGCGGTCGCGCGAGCGCCCGCTCATGCAAGGTCCATGCCGCGCCGGCCGGCGGCTCGCGGCTCGCGGCGGCTCGATCGCGCACTTCGACACTCGCGACGGTCGGTGCGGCCGCTCGCGCGGCAGGCGTCAAACGACTGGCCGGCGGCTGCGGCGGCGGCGGCGGCGCCGGGCGCGACACCCTCCCGCCCGGCCAATGGCGCGCGCGGCTCCCCGCAGCGCCCCGCGGGGCGGAGCCGGCGCCGCGCGTCGTTTTTTCCGCGCGCCGAGGTGTCCGCCGCGCCACACCTCGCTCTCCGCTCCGCTAATCTGGTTAATGCGGCGCGCGGGGGCGACGCTCGCCGCCTCCTTCTAATTGGACACGTTTCCGTTCGTTCATCAATTGAGCTCGTTAGGTCTCGCGATATCTTTTGTGGCGGGTCGGGCCCTCCGTCGACGTTGTCTACGCTCTACGCGGTCGCCGTCGCCGCTCTCGTCGCCTATGCACCATGCTTTTCGCGAACGCTAACAGTTTCTAAAAAGTTTCTTCTCGTCGACTTCAAAAGTTCTTTGCGAATGTATCCGCGGACACGCGTTTTTGATTCTTGTATCTACAAGATCACTAAAAAAATTTCGTATGAAGGGAATAATTTGTAGTATTTATACGGTTCTTAAATCTATATTCATTTTTAATCTAAATAACTGATTTAAATCATAAAGCGCTACTCCTTATGTCTAACTTAAGAGGATTGCGTATCTTAGATTGGTTGCCATTTAAATATGGACAATAATATGCTTAAATAGGTGTTTGATTCTTAACCAAAAAAATATACCTTATTACCTACATAATTTTTTTCAGATATTTAACATATCATACCAAATTATGTGAAAGTATTAAATACCTAAATTTAATATCGTAAAGATGTTTTTGTCTCACATTGTTATTACTGAAATGCTTGATTTTGAAACCAGTATTTTCATTTCGTAATAAAATAATACCACCTGCACATTATTAGGTAAATTACAAAAATAATTGTAAACCTTTAAAAATAGGTATTTAACAATAAAAATTTGGTATCTGTGCAATTTTTACTGTTATGTAAAACTGGTAGATAATGTAATGAATTTTATTACACTAATTGATAAAAATATATGTTCATTATAATTAATCTTACCTATCTTCTTATTTGGATCTTGGCATAACTTTTTACAGAACAAGAAAAATTATAGCATATTTTAACGATTTTATTAGTAGGGTAGGTATGTAAAATTTCTTAAAATTCTTTTGAATAGCAATAAGATATTAAAACGTACGAGAGGGCTTCAAGTAATTTTGTAATTGATCAAAATTTTAGGTATATCAAAGTTGTATGAGTACCTATTAAGCTGAAATAAATAATAATAATAATTCTCAACATGGTAGAGACATTCTGCAGCTATATTAATAGTAGGTATAGTTGTAGCACGAATGGGTCGGCTCGACCGGGGAAGGACCACGCTCTCACAGAATACCAGCGTAAAATAGCAGCTTAATGCTGCTGTGTTCGTATGGTGAGTGTAGAGAACCGGAGACCCATTTTACTGGAAAAGAGGCATTCTATCTTAGTCCTCACGGCTAATAACGCATCTGCATTTTAATTCGCAAACGAAGATAGATGTAGATGTCTATGGGCCGCAGCAACCACTTACCATCAGGTGGACTGTGTGCTCGTTTGTCACCCTTATTCTATATAAAAAAAAATTGCATTTATTACTTTAATATTTACTTTAGCATCATCATTACAGGCCATCACAAGTCCACTGCTGAACATAGGCCCAAATGTCACAAATCACGGTCCCGAGCCACTTGTCTACATCGACTTTCTGCATCTTTTACTCCATTTAGTGGGAGGACCGCTCTAAGCTTCACTCACCGGTACAAGGCTACCATCCGAGAACGAAAGGTTCTCCAGGTTCCCCATCGGTTGTCTGTTCATGGAGCTATAAGTACCTATGACCGGCCCATTACCACTTCAGCTTACTGATCCGTTGGGATATGTGCATTACTCTATTCTTTTCGATAACAATAATTTATTATCTATAAATTACGGTCGGTAAGTTATTCGATATAATTTTATTTACGTCATGCCTTTGATTATAACATGATTATAACTTTGATTTATAACTTATCTACCTACCTTTAGAGATGATTCAATCTTTGTGAATATTTTAAAATGTTTCGCTTACCGACTCCATAGTCGTTAATGAACGAGTCTATGTTTTTTTTAAAAGACTTGTTTAGCAAGACAGGACTACGCTACTTTAAAACATTAATATTCAGTACAAATACATCGATGAGCTCCACACTTTATTCATCCTATAAGCTAAATTATTCAAAATTAGAACATAACTTTCTTTTTAACACATTCTTATTAGCTTGACCTGTCAGTTAGTGTATTGTCTTTTTATAATGACATATAGGTACACACATACACACACACACACACACATATATATACACACACACCTATCCTCGGTTAGTAATCAAAATACAGACGCGTTGTCACTCATTTCCAGTAAAAAGGGACCCCGGTTCTCTACGCTCACCATACGAAACACAGCAGTATTAAGCTGCTATTTTACACTGGTATTATCTGGTCGAGCCGACCTATTCGTGCTTCAACCACAATATAGCTGTAATATGACTCTACCGCGAGCCATGGTAGCTCTGGGGCTTAATGCTCGCTGTAAATTTTACAGTACGCGAGCAACCCGGGTTCGATCCCCGCCGGCACCAATGAAATTGTTAATTGCAATTTTAAGTGCTGATTTACCACGTGTTCGGTGGCGAAGGAGTGAAGAGACATGTGAAGTCCGCAAACACGCATAGGGGCAGCGCGGCGGACTCTCGTTTCCTTTTTGCCCTAAACCTTCTCAGAAGTGGGAGGAGGTCTGTGCCTAACAGTGGGACGTAGGCTGTAACTCTACGTTTATGGCTCTACCACGTAAAGTTGTACTATGTTTTTATGTGTGTATGTATGTGCTATGTGCGTAATGGAATTTTCTAATTCCGTATTCAGCCCATTCCACACGTCTGACTAATCTGAAATTTTGCAGAGGAATTAGGAACGGATGACAAAACATTTATTTCACGACTATGACCTTGTTCCTTTCTAATTAAGGTCAGCTAAGGTCAGTGTGTGCTAAGTTCTTTTACTTAAACAACTGTTAACTGTCACTAACTTTATATAGTTAGTGACATAAAAAGTAGGTACCTAACTACTACTATTAATTATTTTCTTCGAAACTACAACTAAGTATAAAAGTTATATTTTAAAAGTAGTTTTAAAATAGAAAATTTTTATTACTTTATCATACATTTTACCTTTTAAATATCAAGATATGTAATAAATGTTTTATTATTATAAATAAATTTATTTTATTTTTACGTAAATGAAATTTATTTCCTGTAAAAAGTTTCCTACAAGGTATGTGTTTATTGTATTTTATTAAAATTTCTATTTTATATTTGTGAATGTTATTATCCGATTTATGAAACTTAAAAATACTTATGCAGTAGATATCTAATACTTGCAAAGTTCATTCACTTGAACTAGAATGCAATATAAAATATTGGGTATGTAAATACATTTATGTATATTGAAATATAATATAGTTCTAATTTTAATATCTAAAGGAAGAAATTGATCGTATAAGCCTGCAAGTGTTTTGTTTTAAGCACTTTCTTAATTATTTAAACAACAAGTGAAATGACAATCAAATTTGTATTGGAATTAACCTTAGTTGTTTAATTAACCCTTATAGAACAACGCGGGAGAAAGTTTCAGAGAGGTTTTAGAATTCGGCTTACGGTGGAAATAAAATCTTTTTAAGATTCGTATTGCGCCATCTGTCGCCGAGTGAAAAGATCTAAGCGTTTATAAAGAAAGCAAATAAATTATGTATGACATGTGCAAATGGGCACTAAAGTAATGTAGATTCAATTTGTACTACTTTATATCTATCTATCTAATAGAGAAGTTTACTTTATAGTTTCATTTCGTGACAATATTTACCTACACCCGTATTTTTAATTACTTTCACATGACATTTTGAATGAATTTATTAGGTACCAGTAGCAATTATTTGACATTCGATTAACATAAAAAATGTAGCTACAGAATATAGTTGAGGAACCTGAGTAGTGACTGGCGTTAATATATATTACATAAATAATACAATTTAAAAAAAACGTTTATATTTTAAAGTTAGAAAAATAAATATAACATCATATCATATGCATAAGTGCATAACAGTTTTATTAGTATTAGAACTAACCTCTTATATTTTCATTTTTAAAGATTTTTCATTTTAAATAAACAGAGCTAGCTGTATACACTGTAAAGATCGTTCTTCATTATGGTACAAAGTACAGTCTCGCAGCTCCGAGTCGTTTAAAAGTAGGTGGGAATATCCTGTGTTAACCCATTGCCGGTCACTCTCTTCCCACTGCGAACGTATTCGACTCTTCCAGAGATTAGATATTTCCCGTGTCGTTACGGAGTATGAAATACAGCGTTTAGATATGTACCCAAATTATTTATTTAATTAATTTTAAAATTGATATCTACGTTTTTCGAATATATTAAGTTAAACCGTAATATACGCTATAATTAATAAGAAATTACAAAAAAACTTACGTATTAAAAGCTATGTTTTCTTTATTAAAGTAAAAATATTTTTGGCAAAACAGCTATTTGTTTTTAGGTCTAAATGGTCGCTGTGTCCTGACATTGGATTAAAACCTACCTCCGATTCCGATCTTATCGCATAAATGTTACATCGGATAATAGGTAGTTAGGATGAGTAAGTGCCTCTGTATTTGCGCGTTTAGTATGCAAGTATAAGGTATAAAATAAATGAATAGTAGTATGT